AAGGTTGTGATTCGATGGCTAGCCAGGGACACGAGAGAGATTTGTTGAACTTTAAGGGCATGCAGATTATGATAATCTTTATTGTGGTTCCAGAACACTGTTCATGTATATTGTATGTTATATTGAAAAGAACGTAATTTATTATAAAAACATTAATAATAATAATATTAATATAATAACAGTAATAAAAAGATTCATAAATGACGTTACGGAGTTTAAAGACATTTTAACCCAAACTCCAACTGCCCATTTATTTTTTTCCCACAAAAGTTAACCCCAATTGACAAGTTAATTAGAGCAGGTTAATTAGAGTTCGTCTGTTTCAGTGACCTCGATTTATGGTGGGGTAGTGTGATCAGAACTATACCCAGCCGCCTTTACTTTTACTAACGTGAGTCTGGTACCCAATCAAAGCTGGGTGGACTCAGGGACGATCTACGCGATCAGACCCCTCCCCTGTCCAGCTTCTAAAATGAAGTCACAAAGCTACACTCTTCCAATACACACAAAAGCACACACACACACACACTCATACATACACACACATACACACATACGCACATACGCACACACTCATTACAAACCCAACCAATTATTTTAAAGAAAATAAGCATGTTTTCGTATTTGTATTAGTGAAAAATAAAAATAAAAAAAATTTACATTACAATTAGGTATCCCCCCCCCTGTCCCCCACCCTTGCTTCACACCTGTACAATGTAAAGTAATGTAAAAAAATAATCCTCTTTAGACTCAGCGATCCATTGGGCAAATGAAGTATAGTTCATAAGTTTCTTGACTGAAAGGTGTAGTCAGCACTTTGCCCAGCCGCCTTTACTTTCCCTAACATGAAGTAGGTACCCATCAGAGCTGGGTGGACTCAGGAACATTCTACTGACTGGGACCCGAATTCGAGCTAAAGGCTTTAGGGTTGGTAGCCTAGCGCTCTACCACTTAGGCCAAAACTTCCCATTGTTAATTGTCTAACTCAGGGATGAAGGTAAGCCATGTTACCCAGTAAGGGCATTCGGAATATGGGTTTCGCAAAGCTTTATAAAATATATAGAAAGCCATAAAAAACAATACATTCTGGTTTGCCATACTGGAGAGTAAAACGATAGGTTGACTGTTTTAATGATGACATTTAAAGCTCCTGAAAATATTTAAAAGTTTGACTAGAAGTGTCCCAGGGGTAGTACGGGACGTCCCTTAACTAAAGATCAGAGTGAGATTAAAGGTTAAATATGTGTGGCTGATAGATAAATAGCCACGATTTAGAGAAGTTAAGCTAAATATTTCATTACATTGGAAATAACGTTAGTTATGTGTTTTTTTCTAAGCCTAAAATTAAAATATTTACATCAGAAGATGAGCGGGTTCGGCGTGGTCGAGTCGGTAAAGCTCATGATTGCTAAACCGAAAAGTCTCGAGTTCGAACCCTCGTGCAGATGAGGCTCGTTAACTGGGGACAGCCACTCTTCTAGGAGAGACAACTCCAAAATCAAACAACTGCTGCCTTGTAGTTTGTTCTTGGTTGGACAAAAGCTATTGAAGCAAATCCATAAAGAAAAGCAGGCTGAAATCGAAGTCAATGGCCTCAATGGCGCATAACCAGTTGACACGTAATATTTAATTGTGATGGAAGCATGGTCGAGTCGGCAAAGCTCAGGGTTGATACATTCGAAAAAAGTCTCGAGTTCAAACCTTCTGGCAAATAAGGCTGGATCCCTCCCAACACTAAAAATTAAGAACGAAGAAGAAGAAGAAGATGAACACTTTAACAGTCGTATGTTTAGTTGATCGGATGAGAGTAATATTTTAAACGTAGTTCGTGACAATACATCACGACTGTAAGGATTGTTGAAACCAAACAAGGAGTGGGGGTGGGGGGTGGGGCTTACATGCATTGTTTCTGTAAAACTTTTTTCTCTTGGGAAGGGGGACTTGAAATTTTCGGAGGAGGGGGGTGCGGAAATTGGTAAATGCATCTATATTTACATATGAATTCTTTTACGTTTGGACGGGGTGGGGGCGGTGTGATGCCTTAAAGAAACTCAGCTTACATGGACCCACTAGAAACGAGAGGCCCATACAAGAGTCCTTTGGTGAGGGTTATGTGCAACCTCGTGCTTCTTAGGGGCTTCACAGGAATGAGTCAATTCACAGTATACAATTAGTCAGTATAGTAATAGTATGGACTGTCTATGATATAGGGGCTTGTCTAATCGATCAACAGTGAGCCAACTTGTTTCTCTCTGCTATTTTTGTAATATCATGGGAGCTAATTCTCAAAGAAATTATCTTAATTAAAATATATTTGATATCCTGGGAAAAAAAATTAAAAATGATTTTTATAAATATGCCTGCACTCACTGTTTCTCCGAGTGATTTTTGCAACAATGTCCTATTCTTTCCTGCGACAAATAGCGATTGTTTGTTTTTTACGACAATGCCCTACTGTTTCCTTTACCTTAAACTTAAAAACTAGAGAGCTCCTAAAATAGAACTCGTCAGATATCCGCTTAAAAGTTTTAAGCTGACTCATTACTTGATGGGAGTGACGAAAATGGAAGTGACAAATTAGTTTATTGGCATACAAAAAAAAAAAACACTAAATAAAAATGGTGTTTTAAATTTTATATTTTCAAAGCTATATCTCAGTCCGTTTCTTTGTAATTTAAAATGTTCAATGAAGCATATTACTTTAAAAATAACTTGTTTTATCATTGATTGTTTTAGATAATACTATATATATATATATATATATATATATATATATATATATATATATATATATATATATATATATATATATATATATATATATATATATATATATATATATATATATATATATATATATATATATATATATATATATATATATATATATATATATATATATATATATATATATATATATATATATATATATATATATATTTAAAGTACCCCACTCCCCCACCCCAAGCATTTATAGCAGAATTCTTAGTTTATTTGTTTTTTCTATTCTAGAGGTTATATTTCTAAACAATTTTTAGGAATTTCTGCCCACAAAGGATCTTTTCATCAACAGATTCTCCAGGAATTTTAATTTATTTATCTACTCAATAAGTTATCATCAAAGTAGACAAATATACATTTAATTTCTCTGACTGATTTTAATGACTTTTTTTTATCACAACCTACTTTTCATAAACAGATTTTTAGTTCAGTTTTTTATATCTTCTAAGCAAGTGATCATCATAAAAGAGAAATCTCAGATTTTATTTTTATAATTAAAAGACTTCTTGCCTCCTATACTCTCTTTTTTTCATAAACAGCTAATGCTGCACTATTTCAACACTTAATATAACACCGTTATAACACAACTAAGGGGCAATAACAACCTCACAATTTGTTCCCGGGGTAAGGTATCCCTAGGGAGAAGGTCTCAGACTGTGATGACGTCACATCGGCGAGTGGAAGCAACGAGGTATGCGCTGGGTCTCTACACTAAAAAAAAATGTTGGCAGTCCGAACGAGAGCTGGGATTATTGATTGCTTGATCAAATGACCATGTCGCTAGATGGAAAATATACATTTCTGAGTGGGAAAGATTTTATTGTTCGCTTTTTATCTCCCTTTTCATTGGTTTTTATGTTATTGCGTAATGAAATGATTTTTTTAAAAATGCAGTGGAAAGTAGATGTGAAAGGTTAATAGAGCGCTTACGATGGGGGAAAAGTGTTTGCAATTTATAACTTTATCTTTTTTTTTTTTTGAAGTTACGGATCTAATTTATCGTGAAAAGTACAAAGTGGTTTTGGTTGTGCATATTTTCTAAATTTATATTGTTGTAATAGTACCGTGCATGATGAAATATAGAGCTTCCAATCATAGCAATTTAAGATTAAGTGGTAAACAATATTCATCAAAATCATTTTGTAACTTAATAAGTAGAACACATTTTTAGATGTGAAGATAAATAGAAAAGACAAAACACATATGATATTTAGGTAATCCGAAGCGATGGTGTGATCAGGGCTATACCCAATGACTCTTACTGTGTTTAATAACTGAACCCAAAACTCTCGGATTAGCAGTTGGACGCACTACCGTTCGACCATCTTGTTAAATTTCTCTGTATGGTTTGGTTAGAAATTTGACTGACCACAAGACGTGACCACGCCATTTATGTGTTCGTTAATTAATGTATAAAATTCACTTTCATACCAGATCGTCTAGGTGGTACGCGAAGAACGTTCTGTAATAGAACTTGTAAAAAACCATGACTTTCAATGCACTTAATTTGTCTCTGTGACCTCAACATACTAAGGGATAATGTGGTCAGGAGTGTGAATGACTTTAATATGTTTTCCTCAAATCGAGCTTTGTACATATTAGAGCTGAGTGTATTCAAATGTGCAAATTTAAGCTCTGTGAACAATTCTGTGTAAAAACGTTCAGAATAACTTTAAATTACTTGTGTTTGCTTTAAAGTATTAGTGCGTAGGCCTACATCTTGGTACTTGTCTTCTTGTGTACTTGTAGAAGTACTGGTGTGTACTTGCATGTACTAATGTGTATAAGTGTACATGAGGGTTACAGTCTTTGTTTGGTAGTACTCTTATGTATTTTTGAGTACTTAAGTTTTACTTGGGTTACTTGTAGGTGCTGATATGCTTTTTTTATTAAAATGTTTAAGTACTTATTATATGTGTTAAAGTGTACATGTAAGTTCTTGTGTGCACATAATTATACGTGAACGTGATTGTATGTGTATAGCCTACATATATGGACTTGTGTGCACTTGTGTGGCTTTGTGGGTACATGTTTTTACTTTACTAGTGTATACTGTATTTTAATGCGTACATTTTTAGTGTATGAACGTGTGTTTACTACAATATACTGGTATTGAATTGCATAAATTTCGAGCGTGTACATGACATTGTGTTTACTAGTGTTTTTTTCGTGTGTGTACACTCGTGTACTTGTATCCTATTATGTACACGTTTCTCGCTATGTGTACTCACCAGGCCCCCCAGTTCGTGCTCATCTCCGTCCTGTGTGTCTTCGTCATCGTCGGCAACTCGTGCGTGCTGGCTGCCATCCGGTTCTCTGAGAACGGCCGGAAGTCCCGGATGAATTTCTTCATCATGCACCTGGCCATTGCAGGTGAGTATGTCTGTCTGTTTGTCTGTTTGTCTGTATGTCTGTATGTCTGTTTGTCTGTTTGTCTGTTTGTCTGTATGTCTGTATGTCTGTTTGTCTGTTTGTCTGTTTGTCTGTTTGTCTGTTTGTCTGTTTGTCTGTTTGTCTGTTTGTCTGTTTGTCTGTTTGTCTGTTTGTCTGTTTGTCTGTTTGTCTGTTTGTCTGTTTGTCTGTTTGTCTGCTTGTCTGCGTGTCTGTCTGTCTGTCTGTTTGTCTGTTTGTCTGTTTGTCTGTTTGTCTGTTTGTCTGTTTGTCTGTTTGTCTGTTTGTCTGTTTGTTTGTTTGTCTGTTTGTCTGTTTGTCTGTTCGTCTGTTCGTCTGTTCGTCTGTTCGTCTGTTCGTCTGTTCGTCTCTTCGTCTCTTCGTCTCTTCGTCTCTTCGTCTGTTCGTCTGCTCGTCTGTTTGTCTATTTGTCTATCGCTTTGATCGCATCATTCTGGTCAGGTTAATATTTGACATGTCTAAGCCATGTCTGAATCTTCAAACAAAAAATACGCCTAGACGGATAAGGGACCGCCATGCTGGAGGTTATAGTAATCGTAGTGAGAGGGAGGCTTAGCATTTACTCTTACTCCCCCCCCCCTCTTTTACCTCCATCCCCACCTTAATGAATATGTGTGGAAAAAAAATATTTGACATTGTAGGAATTCGAGGCTAATAGATTTCTTCGCGATAATAAACCGGGAGTGATCTCCCCTAAACTTTCTCGAATACTCTTATATAAAATAACAGGGGATGGGAACTCGGACTATAGACATGATTTTTAATCCATTTTAAATACTTAAAGTTTTAAAAATAGAATAAAATCTCGTAGACAAATTAATTGCACACCAAGTGAACGCCAAATAAAAAAGCGCATAATAGTGCGCAATATTATTAGTACTTTTAAAATTTACATTAGTTTTTTGAGAAATCGGAAGTAGCGTAAATTACTACTTCCAGTCAACGGAAATTATTCAAAATTTAACAGATGGTAGAGAATTAGATCTTTTACTTACATGTGAAATTTCATTTATCTATCTGAAATAGTACTCAAGTTATAGGCTTTTGAAAAATTCAAAGTAGAAAAAGTACCACTTCCGGTTATCGGAAATCGCTCAAAAGTTGATACGGATCTACGATTTTGATAAAATACTTATATATGAAATTTCATCAACCTAGCTGTAACGGTACTCAAGTTATCGTGTTTACACACGGACACACACACACACACACACACACACAGACACACAGACATACGGACAAGATTGCAAAATTATGTTTTTCCGTATCAGTGAGATGCAAAACGTCGAGATTTGCAAAAATCTCGTTTTTTTTTGCACGATTACAAGACTTTCTCTATACTTCGTATATACGAGAAAGTAAAAACGGTATTTAAAATGTTTCTGAATGATTGCTTGCAGTTACCCTTTTTACTTTCTCGTATATACGTAGTATAGAGAAAGTATTGTAATCGTGCAAAAAAAAAAATCGAGATTTTTACAAATCTCGACGTTTTACACCTCACTGATACGGAAAAACATAATTTTGCAATCTTGTCCGTATGTCTGTGTGTGTGTGTGTCTGTCTGTCTGTCTGTCCGTGTGTAAACACGATAACTTGAGTACCGTTACAGCTAGGTTGATGAAATTTCATATATAAGTATTTTATCAAAATCGTAGATCCGTATCAACTTTTGAGCGATTTCCGATAACCGGAAGTGGTACTTTTCCTACTTTGAATTTTTCAAAAGCCTATAACTTGAGTACTATTTCAGATAGATAAATGAAATTTCAAATGTAAGTAAAAGATCTAATTCTCTACCTTCTGTTAAATTTTGAGTAATTTCCGTTGACTGGAAGTAGTAATTTACGCTACTTCCGATTTCTCAAAAAACTAATGTAAATTTTTAAAGTACTAATAATATTGCGCACTATTATACGCGTTTTTATTCGGCGTTTGCTTGGTGCGCAATGTTTTTTTTATGAGATTCTATTCTATTTTTAAAAGTTTAAGTATTTAAAATGGATTAAAAATCATAACTATTGGGCTTGTAAGTTGTTAAAGTAGCTTACCAAGTTCTCGCTCCGGTAGTTGCCAGCTAGCGTTTTTGTTGTTTTTCAAACCAAATGTGAATATTTTTTATTAATTTTTTTTTTAAGTTATGAAATCTACTTTCGCTTTTGGAATAAAAGCAAACTCCGACAATGAGCTGTTTTAAGTAAATTAAGTTTAAAATAACACACACACAAATATATTATATTTATATTAGGCCTAATTAAACTAGGCCTAATAAATAGGCTATTTACTTTAAGACAGGTAGACTAGAATACACCCTGTTTAATAATAATACATTTATATAAAATATGAGATTTATACTTTATAGGCCTAAAAGATTTCAATCGTCAATCTGAAATCAAGCCTAAATTTTATATATATATATATATATATATATATATATATATATATATATATATATATATATATATATATATATTTATATATAGCCTAGATCTAGATTTCTAGATCTAGACTTCTATATACAGATACTAGATCTAGATCTATGACTTAAAAAAAGCCCTCTTGAAAATTCCGACAGTAACATACGACATACAGGATTTATTTTTAATTTATAGACTCAATAGTAGTCTAGAGATCTAGATTCTAGATCTAGTTTCTTTTATTTTAAAGTGTAGTTGAGTGGAATTAATTACTAAATTACAAAAATTAGGCTAGGCCTAATAAATAGGCTATTTACTTTAAGACAGGTAGACTAGAATATGTTCAATATCAATTTATATATAGAATCTAGATTATTCTAGATCTAGCGAAGTTTAGTGTAGTCTTGTTGTAGAACTTAAGAACTAAATCTAGAGTGTAGGCAACTGTAGTAATTTAGATCTAGAATCTAGTACTGTGTGACGTCATTTTAGGGGGTGGGGGTCTGGCTTTTTGTGACGATGTGTAGGGGGAGGGGGGGGGGAGGTAAAAATCGTCAAAAAAATGCGTGACGTCATTTATAGATGACCCCCATGGAGAAGATCCACACAGAAACAGTTGAAGGAAAGGGGCCTAACATTCAAACAGGTAGAGGTACCAACATGATTTTAGAGATTATGTAGATATACATATATATATATATAGGGGGAGGGGTAGAGAGAGAGAGGGTTTATCTGTAAATTGCATCACACATTTTATGATGATTTTTACCTCCCCCTCATAAAGGAGGGCAGTAAAAAGAAGAATGTATGATAGCTGGGTAATCCTAATTTATATAATCAGATTATTGTGGTAAATAAAAGTCAACATATCTAGCCTAACAAAATGCCATGAATTTAAAATATATATTATGACTTAGAGAAAGTTTGGTGAAATGGAAATATCTGCAAATTTGATTTATTGATGATGTGTAACTTGTTTATATTATTCCTTTGGAGCTGATATTAATAAAAAGTTAATGAAATTATAGAGTTTTATCCAATTGATGTTTCTAAAGCCTTGCATGAACTTAATTTAAATATATTTAGCTGCCCAGGCAAAGAACCCAATGAATTTTCCAGAATTGGCTTGTCGTTTGACCGATGGTAACAAAGAGAATCACCCAGGATCTTCGCTGATAAGAAAATCTGAAGACATACCTTATTCTTCTATATCTAAATGTGATTTGTCTAATGAAAATATTTATTCAGTGACAATTGCTAAAGATATTTTACCATTATTTCAAACATCATCTTCTGAAATGTTTTCTATCTCTAAACCTTCCACAATTTCTTCAAGTTTCAAGAGATATTTTAACATCATTGCCTACTTCCCACAGTTCTTATGTTCAAAATTTGCAATTTTCTGAGAAACAAAGTAATAATAAATTTGTACCCAGTGTTTTAGTTTCAGCTCCATTAAAATTTAATAAACCAATCAATTTCAAAATTAAATGTTTCTTATCCCATATGAAAGTAGTCTGTTTTATTTAAGAAAAATCACCTTTAAAAAAATTTAATGTTTGAATGTCAATAAATTGTTAACATGGACTGGTTTGCGGGTAAGCTTTTATACTTAGTGTACAATAAAGATTCAGTTTTGATGTCAATATAGTTGCTTCTGAAAGAATTAAACTATAAACAATAGCATTTATATTAATATCTCAATGGCAGTTCAGTATACTTTCATCATTGTTTTGAAATAACAAAACAGAACTACAGTTTTAAAATTGAAAAAAAAAAATGAAAAGAATTTTATAAATGGATGGTTTTTTAATTACTTAAAACAGAAGATGCATCAATACAGCATTACAATGTATATGATTAATATTTCTTTTCATGGACAATCATCATTTAAATTCTTCATTAAAAGTTAAATTCAGCTTCCTTGTGTCTAAAAATCCACATCCATGCTGTTCCATTTACCTAGAAATTAAATAAATAATATTTTTAACAACTTTCTGTAATATGAAAAAATTAATCATTGATTAAAACAGACAGCCAATATAGCAGTTGAATTAAAATTCACCTGTTTCTGTGACATTTGCATGTAAAATTAGAGTGTTCAGAGGTATATACCCAGCCACCTTTAATTTCCCTATCTTGAGCCAGGTACTCATGAGAGCTGGTACTCATGAGACTTAGGACATCATACCAGGACTAAAACCAGGGATCTGAACTCTTATCTTTTAGGATAGAAATGTGAAAGCTACTGTCTGACAGTCCCACTATCAAGCCATACATATTAATACTTACAGTATATAATCTTAGTAGCAACATATTCTTTAAGAATTAGAACACTGAATCGATTTCAAACTTGGGCTTAAGCTGAAAAATGGCTTATTATAAAAAAAAAATTCAGCTCACCTTTAGTTCAAGATCAGCACCAATAGCCACAGTAAAGTGTGAGAAAATTGCTTGCCAAGTACCTAGGGAATTTAAATATAATAAATCATTAAGTTTATCCATATATTATATTAAAATAATTATTTAACTAATATGAGATATTAATATATTAATATATATATATATATATATATATATATATATATATATATATATATATATATATTTTTATATTTATAAAAGGTTTAATTTATTGTAAAGGTTCAGTTTTCTATCTACTTAGCTTGTCTTAAAAACTAAAATATCTGGTTTACAGTTAACCATATCTTAACTATTACAAAACTATTAGTTTCATTTTCATTACTTGTAACTAAAAATTGTAGTCAATAGATCTAAAACTTAATTCTATTAACAGCTAACTGTAACCATACTGACTCTGACCAATTTATTAATTTTTGTACCCTCTAATTCATTAATAATTAGGCTTATACTAAAAGGCCGAAAGTTATCAATTGTAGATTTTATAGTCCCTGGTCTAGACTAACAAGACTAGCCTACAAGTCTAATAGTACTAATACACATGATCTAGTTTCTAAGTTTACTACTAGGCAACTTGCTAGAAGACTAGTACTTAACCAAACTTTAACTTGCTAAAAATAAAAGGGCCAAATACAATAGTAGTTGGCCTAGTAATACTTTTTTTTTACTGTGCTACTTACACTGCTTTTGGTACTATTACTACGGCTAACTAACTACTAACTAAACTCTATTGTAGCTTGATGGAGATCTATCATCTTGCTCTTCTAGTAGTCTACACTACTTACTACTTAGAAAAGTAGTAGCACTACTGTAACAATTTCAAACTAAATTTAATCTATATATTACTAGATCTAATAATTGCAACACTGTAGTCTGATAAGTCTGTAAGCCCTAAATGTATCTAGATTCTAGTCTAATCTAGTTTCAGTCTAGTTATTAGTACCTACACTCTACAATCAGGGGCGTAGGCAGGGGGTTGGGGGTCATAACCGCCCCATAGACCCCTCTGTATATAAGTATATATATAAAAAGTATGAGGGGGGGTGCAAATCGAAAATTTGAGGGGGTGGTGCAAATCGAAAGTTTGAGGGGGGGGGGGGATGCAAATCAAAAGTTTGAGGGGGGTGAAAATCGCAAGTTTGGAGAGGGGAGGGGGGTGCAAATCGAAAGTTTGTCCCCGGGTAAAAATTGGAACCCCCCTTGAGACGATCCTGGCTAAGCCACTGTCTACAATACTCTACACAACACTCTACTACTACTCTACTGGTTACTGATCTAGTAAATAGTTAGAGTCTAGATTCTAGATCTAAAAAAAAATTGATTTAAAATTAAAAACAGGTTAGCCTTACTAGCTCTTACTAAACTTAACTAGGGTAGGTTTTACCTAAACTAGATCTAGATCTAATCTAGATCTAAAATCTATCTAGATCTACTAGATTCTCTAGATCTAGATTTTAGATCTAGATCTAGGGCCTACCATACTACCATCTGCATCTAGATCTACTATCACTATCTAGCCATCTATCTACAAGTACAAGCTACTTCTTATAGGCCTACTTCTAAAATAGTAAACAGTAATCACTGAGTAATCAGTACTAGATCTAGAGTCTAGTTCAGTAATCTAGCTAGATCTAGACCTAGATCTAGAGTAGTCTATACTAATTTTACTAATAACTATTAACTAATATAATATTTAATAACATTGTTGTCAAAGTCTAGATCTATATATAAATATATATCTAAATAATAATATCTAGATCTAGCTAGACTCTAGATGATAGATCTAGATCTAAATTTAAAATCTAAATAGTAAATACAAATGTTTAGATTTAAATTTTACATAAACAAGAGAATGTGGTCAATCTAACTTTCTAATCTAGTCTGATCTAGATCTAGATCTAGATAGATCTAGGTCTGGGAATCTTGAGTCTCGTAGCAAAGACTGAGTAGAGAGTCAGAGTAATGTCCCCTAGCCTTGGACAAACTATCAACAAAAGAAATAAAATCAATATACTTACCGCCACAAAACTTTTATATTCAAAAATGCATACACATGTGTTTGTTCACATCCATATGAACAAAACAGCGTTGAAAGTTTTTACAATTGTTGCATTTCTGGAACGTTTGATGATTTTGAAATTTTGAAGCGGGACCTACTAACAAATAGCCGCCATGTTTTTTGTTATCAATGGGAATCCCGTTCACAACAATTGATTTCGTTCGAAAACTTTTATCTCTCCCTGGCTAACCAGACATGAATTAACGCGAGAAAGAACGATAAACTTACAAGCCCAATATCCCCAGTTACTATCCCCTGTTGTTTTATATAAGAATATTCGAGAAAGTTTAGGGGAGATCACTACCGGTTTATTATATATAAAAATATAATTTCGCTTCATATAAAAAGTACATAAAGATGGATTCGCTTTGTAGAAATATATTTTAATTAAAGTTTTCTTCCGTAAGACTAATGTTGTCTGTACAACGAGAGAGAACAAAGGATTTAAAAAGTGTAGTTGTGTTGTAGGATAAAAAACAAAAATAAATTAGGACTTAATGAAGTTATTTTTAGATGGGTGGGAGATTAAAGATTTGTCTAAGTAGCGTAATAGTTATCATTAATGGGCAAAATCTGAATTGAAGAACACTATGTTAACAATATATCAAAGATAGATAACCATTCGCTTTTTAAAACGTGTTCTATTTGAAAAAGTCAAAATCAAATTGAACAGTGTTCCTTCCAGACTTTTTTTCTCAGGGGGGGGGGGCACTTGATATTATCGGGGGGAGAGGGCGCTCTACATTTTCAGGGGGAGGGCTCTATTAAAAGTATATGTTTATTATATAAATTCCATCTCGTTCGGGGGGGGGGGGGGGGGGGGGCGGTAGAAGAGATGCCTGGAAGAAACTCTGCAAATTGAAGTTCATTTGCATCCGGAGTTTTCGAGACCTAAAACATATAAATTGCACAATTATAAGGAACTTATCGTTATGGTGGTTATAAAATACGAAGGATAAGTCTTTTAAAAGAGTAAATTTAAAAATAGAATGGACAGTTAATTTGAAATGCTTAAGTAAATTACTGCGAAGTTCAAATTACAGTAATTTTTATCCTCCAATTGTAGTTCCTATTCCGGTTAATGTGGTTTATATACGAGCCATTCTGTAAAATTGAAAATTTGTGGTTTTAAAATTATAGGACCACCAATCACAAATCATTTATTTCTACAGCTTCAAAAGCTATTATTTTAAAAGCAGTGTAATTGGCTCTGAGAAACCATTGTAATGATTTTTAAACGACAGGAATTCATCAACCGACTTAATAAGAAATAAAACATTTTTAAGCAAAAATTTTATAAAATAATTTTTTATCAATGTATTTTGTTTTAAATCGTGTATTTAGTTTAAATAAGAAAAATAGCAATCTGTGTTAGCAAAATCAGTTTTGGTCAAAAATATTTTTTCGCTCTATTGAACATATTTCAGGTCATCATTTTAAAATGTAGAATACTTTTAGGAAGAGTTCTATTGTCTAAGTTCTTACATGTATATAAGTAGTGTACTATACTCACCTAATGCTAAAGAGACATCTATATTAAAACATTGTTATTTAATGTTTTTTTATTTCATATTTTGAATTTACAATAAACAAAGAGAGCTTTTTTCTCGCCAACACCTTGTTCATGATGGTGATTTATTTCCATGCTGATGTTATTTTAAATTGTCCCCAGATTTACTGGTTGACATAATGGTGACCTTTGAACTTTTCACAGATTTACTGGTTGACATAATGGTGACCTTTGAACTTTTCACAGATTTACTGGTTGACATAATGGTGACCTTTGAACTTTTCACAGATTTACTGGTTGACATAATGGTGACCTTTGAACTTTTCAGATTTACTGGTTGACATAATGGTGACCTTTGAACTTTTCACAGATTTACTGGTTGAAATAATGGTGACCTTTGAACTTTTCACAGATTTACTGGTTGACATAATGGTGACCTTTGAACTTTTCACAGATTTACTGGTTGACATAACGGTGACCTTTGAACTTTTCACAGATTTACTGGTTGAAATAATGGTGACCTTTGAACTTTTCACAGATTTACTGGTTGACATAATGGTGACCTTTGAACTTTTCACAGATTTACTGGTTGACATAACGGTGACCTTTGAACTTTTCACAGATTTACTGGTTGACATAATGGTGACCTTTGAACTTTTCCACAGATTTACTGGTTGGCATAATGGTGACCTTCGCTGACCTGGTCACCAAGGTCACCGTCGAGTGGTACGCAGGCTACGCCCTGTGTAAGCTGGTGCTGTACGCCCAGACCGTGGTCACCTACTCGTCCACCTACATGCTGGTCAGTCTGTCCATTGACCGCTATGACGCAGTGGCCAGACCCATGAATTTCTCAAGGAGTGGTAAGTAGGATACCACGTGCTGGCAAAGATGGTATAGAATTCAAGTATTAAAAACATATTTTCAGTGATGTTTACGTATACCATTCAAAACAAAGTATAAATTCTATACCAAGCATAACACATTTTTGTCAAAATGTTTTAGAAAAAAAAAGCTAGTATAAATAAAATATTCAAATCCAAGCATACACAATTCTGTCAATGATTTATAGAGAAACAATGTATAAATAAAATATTCTATACCAAGCTTAACACATTTCGCCAATAATGTTTATAAAAAAACTTCAGTATAAATAAATATTCTAATCCAAGAATAAGATTTCTGTCAATGATTTATAGAGAAACAATGTATAAATTAGATATTCTATACATAATTAGAAAAATATATATAAAACAAGTAGAAAGCAAAACAAAAATCATAAATTAAGTCTAAAAATTAAACTATTTACAAATAATAACACGCTGCGAGCAGAGATGTAGCAACCCTTCCCGGCGCCCGGGGACAAACTTTCGATTTGCACCCCCCCCCCTCGAACTTTTCATTTGCACCCCCCCACTCAAACTTTTGATTTGCACCCCCACCCTCGAACTTTTCATTTGCACCCCACCCCCCCATTCCCCCCCTCGAACTTTTCATTTGCACCCTCCCACAAACTTTCAATTTGGCGCCCCACCCCCCCCCCCCCTAAGGTCGACATATGTCCCCCCCCCCCCCCCCGCCCTCCCCCCTCGTTACGCCTCTGGCTGCGAGTCCAAGCTAGTAATGTAAAACATAAGTCGAGTAGAGATAACCTTTTAGACTTGACGGCCAACATAGCTGGTGAAGTAGAGTTCGCATGTATCTCTCTCAATATTTTTTCCAGACTTTTTTTCTCCGGGGGGCACTTGAAATTTTCGGGGGGGGGGGGGTGCGGTAGACTTTCTTCGAGAGGGGGGGGGGGGCGGACACTGTTAAAAGTATATATTTTCTCTATAAATTATATAAATTTCATTTCGTTCGGGGGGGGGGGGGCGGTAAAAACTCTGATCTCTCGTTGTATTGAACGGGCCTACGAATCTGCCAGGAAAACTCTACTTCACTTGTAAAGCATTGTAAAGGGAACTTTACTTTACAAATCTGCCAGAGTATGTGTTACACAGGTGACTCATCACACCGTGGTTGTTGTTGCTGAAGAGCAACACATCTTTACGGCAACAAGACACCCAACAGTTATAAAAAAAACAATACATTTTTACTTCAACAAAATCAACAAAATTCTGAATTTTTTAGCAGCAATTAAATTTTTCTTAACGTTTCCCCCTTGAGGGTATTATAGTTTATTTCCTTAAAAATGAAATTCCATCTTTTTATGTTTATGTCCGTTCATTTTTATAACAGGTTAGCTCTTTAAAAAATTAATTACATTGTCAAAAAAAATTATATCACATCAAGACATTGCATTCGCAATTAATTTTTTGTGTGTGCAGGTCTTCAGGGTCGCTTCCTAGTGATCGTATCATGGATTTTGTCGTTAATTTTCGCCGCTCCAACTTTTTACCTCTACAACGAAACTTTGATCAATGGGAAAAATCAATGCTGGATGGATTTTCCTGAGTTGTGGCATTGGCAGGTAGGTAGTTAGTTGGGTAGGTATTTTTTTTAGTCGGGTAGGTAGTTAGTTGTGTAGGGAGTTTGTCGGGTAGGTAGTTAGTTGGGCAGGTATTTTTTTTAGTCGGATAGGTAGTTAGTTGGGAAGGTAGTTAGGTGGGTAGGTAGTTAGCTGGATAGTTAGTTAGTATGTTAGGTAGTTAGTCGGAGAGGTAGTTATTTGCGTAAGTAGTTAGTTGGGTAAGTAGTTAGTCGGGTAGGTAGCTAGTATGGTGGGTACTTAATCGGGTAGTTAGTCGGATATTTAGCTATTCAGGTTTGTTTTAACTAGCCGGGTAGTTTTTTTGAGTAGGTAGCTACTCAATGGGTTAGGAAACCCGTTGATCGGATAGGTAGTAAAGCAGTTAGATATTGTGTATGTAGGTAATTACTTGTTAATCAGGTGCTCTGGAAGTAAGTGTGGTACCTTGTTGCTCGCGCTAGTGTTTGTACGGTAGGTAAAGAGCATGGTCAAGCAGTTTAAAATAACTTGTATTCCAAATCATAAGGTCAGCATAATTACAACCTATGTAATTATTTTTAAAAAAATTAATATTCGTGACTTCACTAATTCAGACCTGGCAGGCGAAGTAGAGTTTACCTGTTTTTGTGAAGTCTGGTCAGTACCGTGCCTTTTACTTCCCTTAACGTGACCCAGGTACTCACAAGAGCTGGGTGGACTTTAAATTTTAAAAAATTGCTTAGCAGTCAAGCGTTCAACCGTTATACAAAGCCGCCGGTGTTTCTTCCAGACTTTTCTCTGGGGCGGGGGTGGGTGGTGGGGGGGATGGACACTAGTAAAAGTAGAAACTCTGAATGCCGTGGTACGTGAAATTTTGGTTTTTGTTTGTTTAAATTCCTTATAAGTCAACGGGTTGTGTTGTGAATCTTTAAGAAAACAAGGGAGGTAACTCCGACATGTCTCCACAGCTGTTTATATCTATGGCGGCCCTTGTGACGTTCATCCTTCCCGCCATCATCATCGCCACCTGCTACATCGCCATCATCTACATCATCTGGTCCAAGGGCCGGTGCCACGAGCCTCGGTCATCCAGCCCGTCACGTGACCCGCTCAGGGGAGGTAAGGATTTTTTTAGTGACGTCACAGTATTGACACGTGACCCACTCAGGGGAGGTAAGGATTTTTTAGTTTCGTCACAGTATTGACACGTGACCCACTCAGGGGAGGTAAGGATTTGTTAGTGACGTCACAGTATTGACACGTGACCCACTCAGGGGAGGTAAGGATTTTTTTTGTGACGTCACGATATTGACAGACATAGTTTCTTTCAGGCATCTCTTGAGGTTTGGGTGGGGGGGGGGGGGGGGGTCATATCACTTTGACATAGCTGAAATCAAGACACTGTGACGAGACTGTCATAACGTTGTGACGCACGTGACATTTCAGTGTGATACAGCTGACGTCATGCTGATGCGGCACGCTACTGTTATAATTATAAGGTGACGCAAGTGGCATTTCAGTGCGACACAATACACATCTTGTCTTCATAACATGTGGTAAATACAAGTGACATTTTTGCTGATACACAGAGATTATGTCACTGTGACGATTCTGATATAGCAATGTGACATTAGTAATAATCATTATAGTGTGACACAACTAAAATCTTGGCATTATGACAGGAACTGACAAATCATGACAACAATTCTTTCGGGTTTTTTTTGTTTGTTTCTGTTTCTTTACATTTCATTTAATCCAATCATGTATCATAATGTAGGCCTATGAGTTTTGAAAAAGCAAAAGTTATGTATTTTGATAAAAACATCATAAGAATAATTTTAAAGTTGCCAATACCGTTATCCATTATCAAAATTACCTGAGTTTAATTTTGTTATAACAGTTCAAACGTTATGTTCCACAGGTAACGTGACACCCAGCAGATCACGCGTGATCATCAATGACAGTCGCCATGACACTGGGCGTGGCATCATCCCCCAGGCGAAGATTCGGACCATCAAAATGACGCTCATAATTGTTATAGGTAAGGTCATGTCTGTGTACGACAGTGGCGTTGTAAAAACACACAATGTCGCATCTAGATACGGAAGCAAAGTTGGAGACACGTAGTTTTGTAGTGAAATCCTACAAGGATGTTTGTAAATAAATGGACTTACATTTTATTCTAGGTGGTAAGACGAAAAAAAAATTTAAAAAAAAAATTTCTCTGATAAAATTAACATATTTTATGGCATGCTAGTACAATGTGTACAGTGTGAACACAGTTGAACGCATTGCCCATGCAATACCAAAATGAACTCACGACTCTTCATTAAGTTGTATGCACATTTTTAAAAGCAATGAATAGTAGCTTATCCTAGCGTATACTCTGTACATACATATTGAGAACATACTGGATATGATTCGTATCAATTAAACATTAATGCATATTTCAGTCACAATATAAAAATGAAAAAAAAATATATAACCGACTGCATTCATTTTTACAGGTTACAATCTAGTAAAGTAGAATTTGATAGATTAAACAATGTTTTACAACACAAATTACGTACTTCTTGCATGCGTTAAATATGAAGCTATATGATGCCTATTTCCATTACTAACACTCCAACTATAAACGCGATGAGGTCGGGAACACTCTCATTTTCCGACGACACTAAGTTAACGATATCAACAAATTCGATTATAAAATATAATTAACTTTATTATCAACTATAAATACTAAACGAAGTAGACTGAGTGGTCTAGCGGTAGAGTGATGGACTACTAACCCGTACGTCTCGAGTTGGAATCCGGGTTCAAGTCAGTAGACCGTCCCTGGGTCGGCTGGGCATAGTGCTGACCACACTATCTCTTTATATGCCGAAACAAGTGAACTATACTTCATTTTCCCCATAGACCGTCAGATTCGAAAGGGAAACTTTACTTTGCACAATATTATACAACACGTCATTTTCCTACTATGGCTAACCCCCAACTGTTTTCACTCCTGCGTCCTACGTCATCGGTAACGTCGCGTCACACTCACGCCACAAATATTTTATTTAACACGCGCACATACTCTCGAACCAAATCGTCTACCTTCAAGTTTACACCGTCCTTATTAGTCTCTACAGTCTAGTCTTATTTCTATCTATCTACGCCATGACACACAGTACAAATACCAAGTCATAGCGTCATCAATAATTGAATTACATGAACAATTCAAAGACAAAAATTTACCACCATTTACATTTTTTAAACAACAATAATATCAATATGCTGAATCCTGATCTGCCAGTAGAGAACTATAAATCTTTATCATCCGTATAGAAAGACAGTTCCATAAAATGTACACCGCTCAATTCCTGATAGGAGTTTCTCTCGTTACACCTGATGTCCAAATGTTCCCTCGAGCTGTATTAACACACACAAACTTGACCAACACTGTAACTGTAAAGCTAGTTGAAGTTTTAAGACTTGGTCGAAACATTGACCGGGACCAAGCGTACGGTTTCTGTTATCTGATTATGATGACCATTCAATTCGAGTTGGTTCCACTCGATGTGATACTTGTCGGCGTGTTCCTGCTGACGTGTCCTTAACGATGTGTTTTACATGCGTTCACGTCCTTGTGTCCTTGCAGGTGGTTGTCATTTGTCCTCAGCGTATTTTGAAACGTAGTTTCCGTTGCCGATAATTTGCCGTTTCGCCGCTGACTTCATATACGATCGGCATCAGGGAACGTAGCATTCGAGAAGATGACGTCAGATTCTGAGAAAAATATGAGGGGGGCATGTCTTAAATACATGCCTGTTTAGCGTTGTGTGCCCTTCGGACAAATAACCGTCTTCTTTGTAAAGAAAACCCACCAAATGTTGATATGCTGGTCATTTTTCCACGACACGCTACATAACAACAATAATGGTAACTTACTTACTTACTTAATCCTCATCACTCCCTGTGGAGTATAGGGCAGAAACAAATCTCCGCCATTCCACCCTGTCCTGGGCGAGCCACTTTAGTTCATGCCAGGTTTTGCCAGTAGGCTGCACTTCTTCTTACATCTCTCTCCTCAATGTTCCCAGTGGTCTTCCTCTCTTTCTCTTTCTGGGTGGGTTCCACTACATTATCTACATTATCATAATCATCAGCTACACAACCAGTGGCGTAGCGAGGGGGGGGGGGGGCGGGGGGTGACACCATTTAGGGGGGGGGGTGACACCAAGGCAAAAAATAGCAAAATATATAGAGAAAAACTTGAGGGGGAGGGGCTGCAAATCTAAAGTTTGAAGGGGGGGGGGTGCAAATCGAAAACTTGAGGGGGGGGTGCAAATCAAAAATTTGTCCCCGGGAAGGGTCGCTACGCCTTGGGGGGGGGGGGGGGGAAGGGTGACACCATTCAGTGCCGCACCGGGTGACACCCGACCTCGCTACGCCACTGAACACAACTAACATTTAAACATAATTAGATCAGATGCAAAAAAGAAAAGAAGTGTGTGTGTGCGTTGTGTGCCGGCGCCAGGTTATTTAGACAAAACTTTTTAAAACGCCCCCTTAAATTAATTAATAAAACAATTCAAGTTTGCAAGCGTAATCACATTATATTGAAATTGTTGCTAAGTCTACAAGTCTACTTTGTACTTTACGACAATGCCCCCCCCCCCCTCCTTAGAAAATTACCCCTCCCCGCTGTGCCGGGAGAAGAAAAAGTCTGGAAAAAAAATACTGGAAAAAAGCATAGTTCTTGTAGTGTTGGGCTCTCTACAAGACCTCACAGGGTGAGTTTCAGAACGGAACTTACCTGTTTTAAGCTTGACTGTATTTAGTTATAATTATAAAATATCTGTTTTGTGTGATAATGTAACATTTTTTTTTTGTTTTTGAAAAATAAAAGGTTATAAATGTTATTGATTCCATCCTACAATTGTTATATATGAATCATTTAGGAGAGGGCGAAAAATATGATAAAGACAAATAATTTTTTTTTAAAGTATATTATTTGTAATGAAAAACAACGCAACATAACATACATATGGCTGTAAAATTTAACACATTCTTTAATACATACATGATTAGGTTAAATTCAATCATATTTTTACAGAACTCTCTACCAGTTTATTACCAGAAAATTATTAAATATTGACCATGATCACGTGCTTTCCATTTTACAGGTATCATACTTCATTTAGCTTTAATCATACATTAGCTTTAATCATACAACCATGAAATACACTACGTAATTTAGCTTCAATCATATGACTGTGCAATTCACTACATAATTTGACTGAAAAACTATACATCATTTAGCTTCAATACACTACATTTGTAATAGCTCATAAAGTGTATTTATTCTACTTGGTTTATTCAATACATTGAAAAAAATTAAAAGACGAGCTTTTAATCACCATTAGGTCACATAATTAAACACACACGCCTCAGCTTCAATTACCTACTGGTCGTACAAGCAGTAAGCTACAAAATGGCCATCCTAGCTGGTCGTACAAGCAGTAAGCTACAAAATGGCCATCCTAGCTGGTCGTACAAGCAGTAAGCTACAAAATGGCCATCCTAGCTGGTCGTACAAGCAGTAAGCTACAAAATGGCCATCCTAGCCAGCTCAAACAAATTTTAAAACAACCTTGACATAAGGACAACAGTGGTATAGAATATCTTTTATTTACAAATAGAACTTTGTAATTCAAGTAACGGCAGGAATCATTAATGGATGGAATTTTCTTTAAAGATCACATTAGCAAATAGATACAGAAGAATAATTAGTTTTAAAACTAAATATCTCTCAAAAGGGAGAGATGATTAATTGAGAATATTATTTTGTTTAGTATGTAAAAATTTTTAAGCAATATTTTGTTGTTTAGTATGTGAGGATTATGTGATGTTTAGTAAGTGAGGATTGTGTGGCAATATTTTATCGTTTAGTATGTGAGGCTTAAGCAGCAGTCAAAGCTCAGTCTTGTGAGTGAGTGCTATCCTCTGAAATACTTTTTAACGAATTCTGAAACTTCAACCAGTGAAAATGTCGGAGCTTGGAATAAATGAGCATCATCAAACACAAGTTATTAACTACATTCGATTTGCACGTTATCAGCGAGCGCAACGGTTACGAGCTGTTGATAAATGTTTTGAAGAACTGAAAGACAGCAGACTGACAGATGAGACATTTACCATTGACGAGGTGACCGACATGCTGGATGGCCTGCTGGCTGTGGTCAGGTCGGATCTTGAGTCTGAACTAATCAACACAGCTCACACCAACGTGCTCATGTCCAGGCAGATGCTGCAGCAGGCGGAGAAATGGCACCTCAAGCTCTCCACTGACATTTCAGAACTGGAAAACAGGGAACTCCTGGAACAGATCAAGGAATTTGAAGAAAGAGAATCTTCTGGTGCCTAGAAAGATAATGAATTTATCCCAAAGAAACTTATCCCAATCAACGACACAGGGCTGACTCAACTGTTAAATATGAAAATTGATGAACTAGAATCTGAGAATGAGATGCTCTGGCAACGACTCGCTAATTTTGATAAGGAGTTTACAAACAAGTATGAAAGATCAAAATCCTTGACCTCTGACATTGAGCGCCTGCAATCTGAGCTTCGAGCCAAAGGAACAAGGCCAGGGGCAACACCAGAGGAAGTTTCTGAGATGGGTCGTCAGATGGCTGCGCTACAGCTTCAGATTGATCAGGAGAGGCAGAAGGGTCAAGTTTCAGCAGAACATGCGGAGCAAGAGATGGCCAAGACCAAACATGAACTCTTAAAGATCAGGAAAATGTTAGAGCTAGCGGAGAAGGAACTGGAAAAGAAAGTGAGCCAAACAAATCCATTTAAAAATTTAAAACAAATGCTCCAAAGAAAAAATGATCAGCTGAAAGATTTACGGAAAAGACTAGGAAAGTATGAGGAAGTTGAAGATGATTAGTTGGATGATGTGATCAATGTGATCTGCTAGCAAGTCCCTCTCATTGTTTTACACTTTGGTGCACTGGTTTTGTTCCCTTTAATTCAAACACACTAGTTGTTTTTTATAACACCTTTGAAAATAATGTTAGGAAAATATTTATTTAAAATTATAGTCAGAAACAGAAATAACACATTTAATACTGTGCAATTATCAGTCAATTTTAAAAGTTAATGCACCAATGTTTTATATACTCACTTTTATTCATTTCTTTACCACAAAAATATATCATATCTCATCTTTTATTCATTTCTTTACCACAAAAATATGTCTCATTTCTTCACCTAATAGCATATGTATCACTGTATTTTAAAAGTTGTTTATAAACTCACTAAAGCCAAAAGTAGATAAGGTTACAAAAAGTATTTCAGAGGATAGCACTCACTCACAAGACTGAGCTTTGATAAAGACAAATAATGAATTATATGATTAATTTGCGACTAAGACGATTTTTAGACGCATTTGTTGCGCTAATGTCTACTAACATTAAGTATTGCAATCTACATCGGCTACTGATGTAGGCCTATTTGTCTTTCAAATTAGTAATGCTAAAAAAAAACTACCAAACTATTTTCTTTAGAACTTCTGCTCTATTTAATTTTTACAATAGCAAATAATAACTTAAAGTTGTATTTATAAGTAAGCGGTCAACCTAAGGTAAACGAATTTGAAATAAATGTAACGTTAAGCAATGAATTATCTCCCATTTGGAAATTCAAATACAAACATTGTTTTCAAGGGAAATAACTTTCACAAGTGTAGCTAAATTAACCTAGTGAAACTAAGATATTCCTAACAAAAAAACAATAAAACTATCTAAATTTTATTACGTAATGATTATATCAAAATTTCTATATGAGTTATCTAACTGTGTTAAAAGAATATATTTTACTAATTGACTACTTAACTGTGTGTTTCGTTAGAAAGTTTAAACACGCTAGCTTTATTAAAACATACTTCTAGTCAATTATGATGACATTCAAAAATTTGTCGATTATTGTTATTTATTTATTAAAAATTTTGGATCCCTAAATAGAGGGACACCTTTCAAAACATTTAAATACGGTGAACTGTTTAAGACTTTGTATTATTATCGTTCTAATGCAGGGGTCGGCAACCTTTTGAAGCGGAAGAGCCATAAGTTACAATTTTCAAAATTTCCCTGGTTTTAAAGAGCCACAAACATTGTTTTTATTTCAAATATTAAATATTTTTTATTGAGATTATTAGTATTTGTTTAAGGAGCTGGAGAGCCGCATCTTGATATCAAAAGAGCCGCATGCGGCTCGCGAGCCGCAGGTTGCCGACCCCTGTTCTAATGTATACAAGCACATATGCGCACTTCTCTCTCTCTCTCTCTCTCTCTCTCTCTCTCTCTCTCTCTCTCTCTCTATCTGTCCGCGAAATATTTAATATTTTCGCAGCATATCACATCAGAATCTTCAGCGGTATATGGAGAACTTGATACAGACTTTTGTTGAAAATAATATGATAGATGTTTTAAATGTATAAAAACAATTTTATTTAAAGAAGAAAAATAAAAAAATAAATGCATATTCGAATGTAGAAAAACAGTTTTAATTATGCAACCGGAAAAGTGTTTATAGTTGGGACAAGAACGCCGAAATCGATGAAGTCACATGTCATATGTTTGAAGTACGGAAAGTACACAAAACCAATGGCGTCATTTTTCAATTTTAGAATACGAAGAAATGAACTATTTCATTAAAATTTGATTTAGACGAAACAACACAAATACCATTGAAAAGCCGTCATTTAAGTCTTTTAGTCAATGTGTGCATTTAATATAGTGTTGTGTTGACTAATTATGTATATAACTTGGTTTTATTTTTTCTAATAGATATTAGTAGTCTATGTTATTTTAAATGTGTCGGACTTTTAGCTATTTAGTTATTTCTTTGCTTTGTCACTAATATCGTTAAACCTGTAGTAATGCATATTGCGTTTTGACCAATAACTATTTTTATAAAATATTCTTCTAAAAAATGTATACCATTGAACATATGTAGACCGATAATTCACGTGTACCTACGGCTAGTTGAAATAAAAAAACAAGTATAATTTGAAAAAACAAAGTTTACGGTTAGTCATAAATTCTAGCCTATTTAATATTATATATTAATACTTTAAGAGTGTTAATTTATATTACTAAAAAAACTAAAGATTTTTCAGCTAGTGAACGCCTACATTTCTTTGTAGTGTGTTCAAATAAAAAAATACGACACTTTAACACTTCGATACTTTATACCTACGAAACCATATCAGCAACAGCCTTCCGCCGTTACTTCCAAATCTGAACGATTCGTCAAAACTTACCAAACAAGTACAATATTTTGAGCATCCTGTCATTACAAAACTCTATACATCAGAACAGATTTCTAATTCAAAGTCAGAGAAAACGAGACTTACAAGCCCTATTAAAAACCAAAATTGCAAGTGTTTTGGAACGTCCCGTTATGCATTGGATGGAGCGATCACTGAAGCAACAATAAAATTAAATAACCATTTGAAATGTTCGAAATTTAAATTACGAACATATTTACACCAAATCAAAAAAGCAATGTGACTAGTAAAATGCGTCCCGACCTTTCTAAATCAGGGAGGTGGGGTTGCATTTTCACCATCGTGAATAAATATAGGCCTATATAGACATAACTTTAGGGTGGGGGTGCAAAATTGATAGTTCGTCCTGGGCGCAGAAATAGATCACTACTCCTTTGTATATTACCATCTATAGTTTATAAAAGATAATCAAAGTTATTAAATATTAGGTACTTTTTGATAATAGCGATTAAACCTTTTTACCCCCCTATGGATGACTCCCATGGCGACATCCTAGTTCGCCCTATAAGTAGCGCCGGCTTTGTGTGTGTCACATATCTGTAGTGCAGGAGCCTGTGACTGCAGACTGTAAAGTTTCCCTTTCAAACCTGACGGTCTATGGGGCAAGTGAAGTAGAGTTCACTTGTTTCTGTGACCTCGGCATATGAAGAGATAGTGTGGTCAGCACTGTGCCCAGCCGCCTCTACTTTCCCTAACGTGAGTTAAGTACCCATCAGAGTTGGGTGGACTCAGGGACAGCCTACTGACTTGAACCCGGATTTGAACTCGAGACTTACGGGTTAGCAGTCCAGCTCTCTACCGCTAGACCACTGCAGACTGTACATAATCAAAATTATTCAACCTCCAATGGCCACTGTAACAATCATATTTATGGCTAAAATGGAGCAGCTCTCGCTATACCACATGATGACAACTTATTCTTTCTTTAACATTTATATATTTTATTACACCCACCTCACAGTGTTTTACTACTGTGTTTGAACAAAGTAAGTTGACATTATAACTGGTGGTTCAGGCGTGGTCAGATTTGTTTGTGGGCTTATTAGGTTACAGAAATAGCATACGTCTCTATTATATTGGTTTCTGTTCTGTTTATCTTCCTTCTGCCATCTCTAGGTATATTTCCTGTAGGTAAAATGATTGACTGGTTACTTGCGGTAATAGTTCTTTCTTCTAAATAAAAGTGTCATAATTTCCATAACCAGAGTGTCTTTTATTTATCTTTGACGGTGTAGGCCTGTTGTCGTAGCGATATCTATGTATTTCTTTAGAACTGCTAACATGTGTTTGATTTCTAGCTTGGTATCTTTCTTTGTCTGCCCATTTCTCGCTAACGTGCTCAGGTAGTATCTGGTTATCAACTATGTTGCCGATCATGAGGTCAAATGAGGCCTGCTGAAATACAATGGCATAGAATCTGACAGACAAGTATGGGCTGTGTATGTTTACCCAGGCTGTGGGGTGAAAACGTTTACTACCGAACCCTTCAACCAGTACCTTCTTCCCAGTAAACTGTTTGTTGTGGACCACGCTACTTTTGACTACTAGAGTACTGGAACCTGTGTCTCTGATAGCATTCACCACCCGTCCGTTCATTTTATATTTGAATGTGGACAGTTTGTTTCCTCCCACTGTGTTCATCATGTACACACGTTCTGTGTGATTGTTGTCTAGTCTGCCGCAGAGGCGTAGCGATGGGGGGGGGGGGGGGGGGGTGCGAGGGGTGCGGACCGCACCGGGTGACACCATTTAGGGGGGTGACACCAAGGCAAAAAATAGCAAAATATATAGAAAAAAGACTTGAGGGGGGTGGGTGCAAATCGAAAACTTGAAGGGAGGGTGCAAATCGAAAACTTGAGGGGAGGGTGCAAATCGAAAACTTGAGGGTAGGGGGGATGCAAATCGAAAGTTTGAAGGGGGGGGTGCAAATCGAAAGTTTGTCCCGGGGAAGGGTCGCTACGCCTCTGGGGGATGACACCATTAAGTGCCGCACCGGGTGACACCCGACCTCGCTACGCCACTGGTCTGCCGTTTGAGTTGTTGGGGCGTGGCGGGTTGTTGTTTTTTGTTTGTGTTCTGCCGTCTGGGCTTTCGGCTATCTCTCTGGTAATGACCGATTCCGTTGCAGTTATAGCACTTGATATCTGGCAGTTGTGTCTGCTGTCGTCTGTTGGATTGATGATGTCTATGATTCTCGTACCTGTCTTTACTCATACTTCAGTCGGCAACATGGGTCATGATTAGTGAAGTTAATTCTGTCTCGTCATACTTTTTACATACTGGATTTGTCGGATGAGCCGCTATAAATTTCTGCAAAAAAAAACCAGCGTCAGTACATTATTTATTAGCTAAAAATAGATCTAGCTCACATGCGATAAAAACATTAAATCTAAATTTTTTAAACAAATTTTTCCGGCTGAGAAATGCAGTTAGTAACTGGCAAGTTTTAACATTCGTGCCAAATTGGCATCTTAAACCAAAACCCCTAGTGTGCGTGTTACACGACTACCCACACCGCTTCATTAGTTTTTGGCTGCTGTGATTAGTTTTACCAGAGTTGCACCATTACAACAATGTAATTAAATAAAAGGTTTAAGTGAAAAAAAGCGTTGTATGAAATCTAATTTTACGGCGTAATGCTAATGTTTTAATGAATGCTAATTGTATGAGTTATCGAGCTCAATAACGTTTTAAAAAGAGTATTATGCTGTTGATGACTTTGCTGTTGCCTTAACGTAACGACCCTTCCCGGCGCCCGAGGACAAACTTTCAATTTTTGCGCCCCTCGGGAGCAAATTTTTAATTTGCACCCCCTCAAACAAACTTTCAATTTGCACCCCTCCCCCTCCCCACCCCTTCAAACTTTCGATTTGAACCCCCCCCCCCCGTCTCAAACTGCTAAAATGCAGCTAAAATGACATTTTAATTTATTTTTACAACCCATTTTGGCGCCCCTAAGGTCGGCGCCCGGGGACATATGTTACCCCCCCCCCCCCACCCATCGCTACGCCTCTGGATTCTATATAGCTTAGACTTTTTTTTTACAACAAATTTGTTGATTTCCGTTTGGCTCCTCAGCCGAATAAGTACTTGTTTTACAATTTCAATGGTTAAACTATATATGTGTACACTGAATGATATTATTTTATAATAATTTAAGCTTTGTACATGGACATTGTATTTAAAATGTTCCTTGATGAAATTGAATGTTAATATTTTCAACGTTTCATATTGACTTTAAAAGTTAACATTTTAAACCTCTCAAATTGACCTTGAACCTTAGAATTTTGTGGGACTGAGTGGCCTAGCGGTAGAGAGCTAGACTGCTAATCCGCAAGTCTAGAGTTTAAATCTGGGTTCAAATTACTTGACCGTCCCTGAGTCCACCCAGCACGGATGGGTACCTAACTCAAGTTAGGGAACGTAAAAGCGGTTGGGCATAGTGCTGACCACCTTATCCCTTCATATGCCGAGGTCACAGAAACAAGTGAACTCTATTTCACTTGCCACATAGTTTGAAAGAGAACTTTACTTTTACTTTGCATTTTACAATTTTCCTATTGATATTGAAAGTTATCATTTTAACATTTTCATATTGATATAAACGTTAATTTTTATATCCCAGTTTTCATCCTGTGCTGGAGCCCGTTCTTCATCTACAACTTACTGGACATCTTTAACCTGATCCCTGAGAACAATGCCGTGTCCACCCTGGTCCAGTCCGCCGCCCCACTCAACTCTGCGGCCAACCCTATCATATACGGCATCTTCAGTACCAGGATCTGCAAGAACTTGAGGTAATCTGACGTCACAGGTTGATAGATGTAGGACACATGTCTGACGTCATATGTTGGTAGTGGTATGACAAAAGTATGACGTCACATAGTGGTGGTGGAACGACAGAGGTTTGACGTCACATGTTGATAGTAGTACGACGAAAGTTTGAATTCAAATGTAGACAAAGAATTGACGTCACATCTAGAGTTACATCAAAAGTTTGACGTCACATGTTGGTACTCGTACGACAAATGTTTGACGTCACATGTTGAAAGTTGTACGACAAATGTTTGACGTCACATGTTGGTAGTGGTATGACTAAGGTTTGACTTCACCTGTTGACCATGCTTTTGCAAGTAATTTCATTTGCTTACTACTAAGTAGTAGTATTTAATACAAGCTGAAACACGCAACTAAGGCATGCAATGTACTCTTGCTTAAAATGCTCGAACTTTATTCAATTTTGATGACAACAGTGGCGTCACTAGGTGGGGTGCCACTCAGGGTGTCCACCCCCTCCCTTTTATTTCTTTTTTAATTTTTATTTAGCATCGCCACCTTCTAACAAAAACTGTATTGATCTTCTTGGATGATACATGTGTAGGTTTTTCGATTTTGGTGTCTTCCCCTAAATTGTGTTACCCAGTTCGTAACCCCCCTCCCCCCCCCCCCCCCAACCCCCTTTTTGACGCTACTGGTGTCAACTCATTCGTGTATTAAATTATTAATATTTCATTGTTTATGAACTGTTGCTGGAGCACTTTAACTCTGTACTCTGTGCTAGTTGTAATATCCGTCCTTGCCTAGCGTCTGTTAAAATTGAGGTTGTAAAGATAAAACGCTGTGGAATGTGCATTACGTTCAACTTTAGCTAAGGGAAGTAAACCATGAAGTGAAAAAAAAGTAATAGATAAAAAAAAATTGACATGAAACACTTTAAACTAAAATGTTAATTAACTATAACCCCAACATTTTAATTTTTGAAAAAACAAAACAACAAAAAAAAAAAACTTAATCAGCTGCTACTCATCACCAACAAAATATTGTATATTATCATCCTCGTTCCTCGTGTAAAACAGTTTTCATGGCTAATATTTATTCCAGTCAAAAGCCACATGCTGGATTTTCCTCATCCGTTTTTGGATATGCAGTTATAATAAAGTAGAAATAATCTTTAGTAAATTTATCTTAAAAAACCGGCGGATTTATTAAGTTAAATGTCATAGTATTTTCTTAAAACTACGGATTTATTTAGTTACATTCATTGTATTTTTTTACAGACAAAGTAACTGCGAGGAGCACTTGATAACAATGGTTATATATATTTACATCGGTCGTCATCATCTGTTTAGATTTTAAACCGCTGGTTGTTCTGTTAAACTACAAAGCAGGCACCTGCAATTTCATTGTGCGTTAGAAAACAACAAACATTTAGTGGGTGTACCATAATAGTTTACATACAGGCCTATAACTAAAGAATCCGTTAATGCCATTAAAAATCGTTATTTAGTCTTTAAAATTAGTAAACCAAACTTGCCCCCCCCCTACTGATGCGGTCACCGAAACAACCCCAGTAGGTTTGGACCCTTCCCCCCCCCCCCCCGCCCTCTCGTCCACCCCTATTGCGTCCAACCATAAAAGTTTGCTGGATTATTTAAAAGATTAACCGTGACCCAGTGGCGTAGCGAGGTCGGGTGTTACCCGGTGAGGCACTAAATGGTGTCCTCAGAGGCGTAGCGACCCTTCCCGGGGACAAACTTTCAATTTTCGATTTGCACCCATCCCCTCAAACTTTCGATTTGCACCCACCCCTTGGTGTCACCCCCCTAAATGGTGTCACCCGGTGCGGTCCGCACCCCCGCCCCCCCCCCCCTCCCTTGCTACGCCTCTGCCGTGACCTCCCCCCTCCCCGCTGGCGCAGCTCACCAAGCACCCCCCACTGGCGCTGATAACTCCTCAACACCTCATCGGCGTTTCTTCTTCCCCCACCAGGTCCTCGCGAAAATGACAGAGGCGACAGTTTTCCGTTAGCGCGAGCCTGGTACGGCCTCAAGGTTGGTAGTGGGACCCTGTTCGGTGACTGTTTTTCTTCGTAGCAGGCGTCTTGCATGCTCTCCACTTAGTCTGCTTCTATTGCCTGCTGGTGATGGTTAGCAGTACACGCTTTTGTTCGCTTCATCCAGTGTTTTGAGAATATGATTTGTTTGAGTTCCATAGGCATGTGTAGAAGTCTATTTTTAACAAACTATTTTGTATGGAACACCGAGTTGTTATTTTTGTTGAAATTTATAAATGTTATGACAAATTTGATGTTAGAAACAAGATTTTTTAACTTATTTTTTCTGGATTTTGTTTTAGGAGAATTCCAGTTCCCTCCTGCTTACGTCATGCTGCCTGTAGGTGTAAGGATAAAGGCTGCAAGAAAAGAAATTTCAGGGGACGAAACCAACAATATTTTTACAGCCAGTCGACGGATCACACGTTATCTACCCTTGACGCCAATCGCCGTATCACGGATTTAAAACTGTCTTCGCTAAAAAGGTCGAATCGCCTCAACCTTGCGCACAACTCTGAACATTTGCTCGAGCTTCATCTGAACAAAGACGCAGTGAATAGGTCGAAGAAGAACTCCAAGGGCGTGAAAATGTCCTTGTTTAAACTAAAGGGGTGTAACTTCGACAGCAAGCGCGGGCAGGACTGCGAGGTTATGCCCCTGACGCGTCACGCCGTCGACGGTCGAAAACTGGGCAGCGACGCCAGCGAAGAGTCGTCGCAGTCGAGCGAGAAAGTCGGTCAGAGGCTGAGCGCGGTGCCCAGTTGCTGCCAGGACGTGCAGGAGTATGACGTCATTGCCAAACACGATGACGTCACGGCGCGTTCACCGGGTACCGCCTGCGCATGCGCGGGTGGTTGCGATTGTCTAACAGTGACACCAGAATCTAAGCTTGATATTGTGGATATTAATTTATGCGGCCGCGATCAAACCAGTTCTGAGGCCGTGAAGGATATCGACTTACCTATGACTCCGCGTGTTCAGAGACCCGCAATAAACATCTGGGACAACCCATGTTCTGACTCCTCTAGCTACGAGTTCTATCACACTGACGCCGTGTACCAGGACAACGTTATACCAGATCACTACTCCACCCCTGAGAGTCAACTGACTCACTCTAACATAACGAAAGTAGAAATCGTGAAATGCCCGGAGATAAACTTACTGGGAAATCCCGATGCGGCGTTTGACGACGCGCAAACGGACTCGTATCGGAGTGCAGGCGGCAGGCGAAACAGCAGTGAAAGACCTTTGTGTGTGCAGTTCGGGACCTTAGAGAGGTCTTTAGCTCACAGACGACCGTCCGGTGTACCGTCGGTCCGACGGCGACTGACGGAGGACGAGAATAACATTCTGAACAACGCCGCCGGGAAGTGGTTACTCAATGACGTCACAGCCAGCGAGTCGAGCGTTGTGTAGCCAGCGGTGATAAAGTTACTGGACCGCGGGCCGAAGTCGGACGTGCGAGATTTTATACCACGCTAAACTATAAAAAAAAATACAATCTTGTACAGCTGAAGTTTACATTCAGTTCAAACATTCCCGTATTCGCTAACTAAATTTAAACAAGGGAAGTGTAGACATATGTAAACGTTATGTACAATAAAAGCTAACTAACAGAGCGCTGATTAGGGTAATTATGACAGGCACTAAGCAGTGGCGTAGGCAGGGCGGGGTTAGGGGGGGTCATAACCCCCCATAGACCCCTCGGTACAATAATATAAAAAGTATGAGGGGGGTGCAAATCGAAAGTTTGAGGGGGGGGGGGGGTGCAAATCGAAAGTTTGAGGGGGGGGGGTGGGGTGGTGAAAATCGAAAGTTTGTCCCCGGGTAAAAATTGGAACCCCCCCCCCCTTGAGACGATCCTGGCTACGCCACTGGCACTAAGACAAAATAAAAGATGAGATATCCTCATCTAAGTATGGAAATACTTAAAGTTTCAGGCAATTTAAAAAAAAAAATTCGTTTCTTTTAAAGTTCTAGGATTTTTTTTTAATATTGTATCTTCTGTTTATGAATGGGCTGATAGATTCTTATATTATTTAATTAATGAAATACTTATTGTTTATAAATGTTTATTTCTGGAATGTTATTTCAATCCGCAATAAGTTTACTAGTAAATCAAGATTAAAGTATCAAATGCAAGAAATAGATTTGTTGCTAGACTTGAATAAAGTAAACATATTTGTAACTTGGTATTCAACAGATATATAACATTTTTATTTGATACAGCTCATACGTGTACCTATCATTAATTAATGACAATAACGCGATCAATAGTAGGCCTACTCACCGTTAATATTTTTGTTATTCGTGTTTGTACAAAAATCTGGCTCTACTAGCCACTAGGCGTATAAGCCATCGAGATCTGATACACATTTATGATTATGGAAACAAGAAGTTCTTCAGACACGTGTACTTAGAGGCGACAATAAATAGACTCGAGTCTAAGTTAACTTTAAATTACATGTATTTTTACATACATCCAGTGGCGTAGCAAGGGGGGGGGGTGCGGACCGCACTGGGTGACACCATTTAAGGGGTGACACCAAGGCAAAAAAATAGCAAAATATATAGAGAAAAATAATAATTCCACTTAATTAAGTGATAAATTCGAGGGTTAAATAGTCTTTTAAGAGGTGCAAGTCGATCGAAAGTTTGAGGGGGGGGGGGGGTGCAAATCGAAAGTTTGAGGGAGGGGGGGGGGTGCAAATCGAAAATTGATAGTTTGTCCCCGGGAAGGGTCGCTACCTCTGGGGGGTGACACCATTAAGTACGGCACCGGGTAACACCCGACCTCGCTACGCCAATGCATACATCTACATTATAACAGAAACAATATTTAAAGCTTTCTGTTGTCAACAAACTCAAAAGATAGCTTTAAGACTATATAATGTACACAATGCCTATGTACAGCTGTCAGCCTTATTTTGTCACCATTATAAACTTGTTATTTAAAAATAAATTATTAGGTGTCAAGTTTTAAATGTGTTATGTTAATGTCAATAAAATAAAAAATGCGTCAATCAAGTTTCGTTTCCTATTTTTTCTCCATTTTTTTTTCAACACTTGTTTTTAGTGCAATGTATAGATAAAGAGAATATTTAGTCCCAACATAGATTTATAACAAGAAATTGTAAAGTATTATGATACATTTAAAATAAATAAATTACATACCATACAGAAGGCAAAATGTGTGAAAAAAAAAACAGAAGGTTAAAGTTTTATAAAATGTTAACTAACTTATTCATCTCATATTTTCCCGTTCGTGCTCAAGACACATGGGGAAGAGAGATTAGAGTTCATTTGCTTCAGAGACTTCGGCATTTGAAGGAATAGTGCGGTTCAATCTATGCCCAGCCGCCTTTGTTTTTCCTAACGTTAGTTAGGTACCCATCAGAGCTGGGTGGACTCAGGGACTGTCTGCTGACTTGAACGCGGTTTCGTACTCGACTTACTGGTTAGCAGCCTAGCTCTCTACCATGCCGTCCCATGTTATGCAACTACAAACTAATAATTCTAGGTCTATATCTGGTGACTTACAACAAACCCAAAGATAGATTGAATTTTTTTAATAAATGAAATAATTAATGTTTGCGCGAGAACAACATAGCTATGCAACACAGTTCCTCTCTTCAGTTATATCTATGCAGGAAACGCGATGAACAAATCTATTGACCCGATATAAAAGCAACAGCAATAGTCATGCACCGAGGGTAAACTATAATGTAGTCTACCCAGTCAAATATTCAACATAAAAATTATGGAAAAACAGTCATACAACTGCTGTAAACAGTATTGTAAATAGTATAGTAAAACCAGTCATATATCGATGGTAGGCAAATTGGGTTTACTAAAATAGTCACTGTTGCATATATATATATATAATTATGTATATATATATATATATATATATATATATATATATATATATATATATATATATATATATATATATATATATATATATATATATATATATATATATACATATATATATATATAGTATACATATATATACATATATATATATATAAACATATATATAAACACGTGCATTACATCAGGAAGTCTTTTAATTCTATTCCAATTTGCGTCATAAATTAAATGCAGATAGTTAATAAGTTTTGAAGGGATAGCAAGTGGTGTTCCACGTTATTTCTCAAACACAACATTGTTCTATTGTTCCAACATTTTTAAATACACTACATGAATAAGCTTTCGTACTAACTTGTAACTTCCCATTTATAATTTGAATTTAAGTAAGGGAAACAACTGTCATCCTACTTTACTGAACATTAAACACAGCATTATTCGCTTTACTACACGTTGCCGTTACCGTGTGCAAAAATTTAGATTTGTAAATTAATTTGTTTTTAAAAATATTATACTAAAATGAGTGTTTAGTGTTTAAAATAAAAAAGTGCATTATAGTTTAAAACAAAAAACATTGAAATTATTTTATACAAATGTTGTATATATAAATAAAACTTTAATCAATGTTGCCTATTTCTGAAATTAAGAAAAGTCCAATTTTGATTATGTTCCAAAAAATAATAATTAATAAAATATGATTTAAAATAAAAGTTTAGGAAGGGATGTCTGCTATAATTTAGCAGTGGGCCTCATCAAAGGTCACTAAGTAACTAAAGTGTCAGAAAGAAAAACCCAACCTTAGAAAGTGGACTGCCACTAAGCATGCAAAATTCGTAAGGGATCTTGTTAGAGAAATTGCTGGATTTTCACCCTATGAAAGAAGATGTCAAGAGCTGCTGATATTTTTCTAAAGGTAATCGTGCTCGTCAGTTTTGCGAAAAGAGGTTGAGTACCCATGTTAGAGGCAAAAAGAAGAGAGAAGAAATGCAAGTCACTCTCCAGAAGGTGAAGAGAGCTCAACAACAGCAACATGCCTAATATTTTATTGCAATAAAAAAAAATTAATTAATTTTTTTTTTAAATCCCATGATTCAATGGATTTTTGTTTTTCCATCCGTGTGGTGGGCTGAAGGGGGTGAAATGGGTTACATAAGAAAAGGTATCCAATAGATACTACAGTAACCCACGCTTTTCTTTATAGTTATTTAAATAGCAGTCTATAATTTATTTTCTACTGTTTAGTGCATTAGTACATACAAGCTTGTTATTAAAACGTTTTTTATGAATTTTTTTTTTATACTAAAGTGATAAAAAAATCTTATCTTTTTTACTTTCTCGTATATACGTAGTATAGAGAAAGTATTGTAACCTCACTGATACGGAAAAACATAATTTTGCAATCTTGTCCGTATGTCTGTGTCTGTGTGTGTGTGTCTGTGTGTGTGTGTGTGTAAACACGATTACGTGAGTACCGTTACAGCTAGGTTGATGAAATTTCATATATAAGTATTTTATCAAAATTGTAGATCCGTATCAACTTTTGAGCGATTTCCGATAACCGGAAGTGGTACTTTTTCTACTTTGAATTTTTCAAAAGCCTATAACTTGAGTACTATTTCAGATAGATAAATGAAATTTCACCTGTAAGTAAAAGATCTAATTCTCTACCTTCTGTTAAATTTTGAGTAATTTCCGTTGACGGGAAGTACTAATTTACGCTATTTCCGATTTCTCAAAAAACACATCTAAATTTATGAAGTACTAATAATATTGCGCACCATTATGAACATCTTTATTCGGCATTTGCTTGGTGCGCAATACTTTTTTCTATGAGATTCTATTCTATTTTAAAAAGTTTAAGTATTTTGAATGGATTAAAAATCATGTCTATATCCCGAGTTCCCATCCCCTGTTGTTTTATAGTTTAGGGCAGGGGTCGGCAACCTCTTGAGACAGAAGAGCCAAAAGTTACAATTTACAACATTTCCAAGTTTTTAAAGAGCCGCTAACATTTTAATACTATTATTAATATTAATATTATGATCCTTAATCAGGATTTGGTACACACACACACACACATATATATATATATATATATATATATATATATATATATATATATATATATATATATATATATACTAGGCATGCTGCCCAGCTTCGCTTAGGCTTTCGAAAACATTGAGAATTTGAATGCTTAATTAATTCGCCCGAGGGTCGGTCTACGACCTCAAGAGCTATGAAGAGGTTCCTCCGTGGACATTTTTTTTTCGATTTATAGCTCATATAAGGTACCGGTCAGTCGAGGTCAGTTTTGACCCCTTCATCGTAGACTTTTCGGCCAACCGGCCCCCGTGCTCTGTCGCCCCAAGGCAAGATCCTGCCAAATTTGAAGCGCCTGCGGCGCCGGGAAGTGCCTTATCGGACACCCGACAATCTAGATCTAGATCTAGAATCCTAATTGAATTTTTTTTTTTTAAGTTTAGTCCGAGCAAAATTTAAAAAAAAATACATTAACCAAGTTGACTTGGTGGGTCTCGAACCCGCACCACCTGC